GACCGGTATCTTTTCTTTCAAAGAAAGACATGTTTTTCACTTATCGTTATTTGATAATGTTTTCATGATAAATAATATAGATACAAATTAATAATTACACATTGTCATGGCAACATAGTTTCTTTTTCATCCACCATGTTTTAGAAGTATGTATGTATGTACGTATGATGCAATGACATATTCTAGTCATTACTGGTTTAGACTGGTTTAGGAATTAGACCTGTGTGCATGTCACGGACCGGCTGCAAACATTTCCCCTGAAAACAGCAACATTACTCTCTAAATAGTCCAAAGGGTAAAAGAACTCGAAATATTTTTTTCAGAATACAGTTCTTATTAAAAAAAGCTTTGTTTTTATATATATAACACGATAGCCCTGGGTATAGTGTGATTAAATGTAATAATTTCCATTTAGAGAACTAAAATATTGATATTCGAAACAGTATTAATCTACTCTATGATACCAAACATTAATGCAAAATATGTCATTTATTTACGTATATATGCAAATTAGGTAATTTTGGCTGTAATTTAATTCCATCAAACAAACAGAAATGAGTTCAGGGATCAATAATACAACACAAATTATGTGACTTGCAAATAACGCAATGCATGGGGGGGGGGGCTCCTATTAATGACTCATGGTCTGACATGTTTTGTGGCTAAACTGAGTCAAAGCCTAGTGTGCACCTAAATAGTCTCTGTGAAGTGGTGCAAGTAATCAAAGCCTTATTTGGAGTTTATCTCTATATGGAAATGATTTAGGATTGTTTATGATAATGTATTATTTTTAAAAGGATGCACCGTAACCATGGAAACTATAGTTCCTCCTGTAATTTGTAAATGTACTCACACCAAAATAGTTATTGGTTGCCAGTATACGACAAATAAGTAACTCTTGAACGCATAAAGAACGACGAGAAAAAAATGAAATAATTATAGAAAGTTGTTTACAACGTATCTTTAATTGCTCTATTGTCATTTCAGTAAATTGAGAAAATGCATGTTTCCTGATTGCAATGTTCTTAAAAAATCATATCCAAATTATTTAGGGATTTTTAAAATGTCAGATGCGCCGTTGGCTGCACTGAATTGATGCCCAGATATTTTGCAAGGCAAGGACATTTGTAATCATTTGTAAGCATTATAGTACATTTAAATGTTTGATTGCCGTGGCGCCTAATGGTACTTATATCGAGATATTTTGACTAATGTGGCATTTGGAAGCAATTAAATCTAAATGACATACTGCAAGTTGGCCGTGAGTTTACTGTAGAATATTTGCTAATGCTTACACAAGTTCATTTAATATTCCTCCCAATATTGAAGGAAGAGATAAGATAAACACCACAAAAGAAAAACAAATCTGTACAGGGATATGATTCACGTACTAGAGAGATATAATGAACGCATAAAGAGGTTTCGATTGATATCTAGAATAATTTCCATTGTCCCTAGTTCCAGTAGACATTCAAATATTGTTTTTAGTTTGTTGCTATGTAAACTTTCAGGATCAACTTTCACGTGAAACTTGTTTTTTTGTCTTAAATTTGGAGAGCAAAGGTGTGTTTTTTTGCTAAAAATGTGAACGGTTATATCCACCTAGAATGTTCTTAAAAAGACGTACAAAACACAGAAACTCTAAAGAAAATATTGCAAACAAGCGTCGTCACTTAACAATGCTATTATTACGGCTGGGAAGACACGCTGGCAAGCTCTTGCTCAAGTTTTTGGAATAATTATGCAGCGTTTTAAACGGTCAAGCGATTTCTTGATGCAAATAAAAAAAAATCCAACCTGCGATCTAGCAGCTTTGGGTTCGACGAGTTTTACGTAAGTTGATACACGTATTTATAAAAGTAATAGTTTGTTAATAATCCTCTGTAGTATAAAATAATCCTCTGTAGTATAAAATAATAAGACGTTTCGAGCAATAAAATCATAAGTTCCTGAATATGAAGTAAATAATTGCGAATGGCTGTGATTATGTCATGAATTTGTTTTTGCGTATCTGTTGACCGACTTAAGGTAGCGAGAAGGGAAATTTTCACTTTTTTCTTGATTTTTCAAAAATTGATAAAACGGTTACTTTAGACCTTGATACATCACCCCAGGTTTATAAAAGATCGAAATTGCGAAATAACGTTGCTCAAATTAGTGTTTTAAAACACTAGCAGAAAAGACTACAACTGCCGTTTCGTGGATATTTGCATAGTGTTTATCTTTGGAAGGAATTAAATGATAAAATCTTATCTGTATACTCTGTTGTTGACGATTCTGATATAACGGGTGATAAGCTTCCAGTTGCAAACAATGCGTGTTTATCTAACGTCCATTGTCAGCATTATTGTCAGTCGAGACTTCGTCGGAGAAACATGGTCATACAGTACTCATTTCGCCCAACCTTCCGCTTTTACATCGACCGCTTATCGCTTAATTTCCGACCACGCGGTCTTGTCCGACCGGAAACCGACCGCATTTTAATCGCGTTTTTTTTTTCGCTCGCTCGCTCATTGAAAACATTGACCGCTCGCCCAAACACTGAAAACTGGCACATGGGTGGTCGAAATGGTGGTTTTATTTAAAAACGTCACAAAACCTTCTCGCTACCTTAATTAGTTGATTATTAGCTGAATTGCTGTGTTATGTCTGTCATCGTTCAGGCCTATTTGAAGTTTTGGACGGAACTTGGCTCAGTGATTTGGAACTAATTACCAGATAACCGTCGCGATTCTGACAGTTGGTATCCATAGTTATTAATGTAGTGAACGATTAATCAAAAGATATGACGTATTCAGTACTTAGTGTGATTGGCTTTATGATTGAAGGTTACGCCCTAGAGTCTTTTTACTGCTTTGTAATTGGTTAGAGTTGTGAAAATGAATAAAGAGAGTTCGAGTTGGTCTTGGGGAGCACAGCACGATAGACGCAGTAGAGAGAGTGTGCAGTCCTGGGCAGTCGAGAGTCCAGTCCAGGGGCGAGCCTTGAGGCAGTCCAGTCTTGGGCGAGTCTTGGTTCAGTCTAAGAGAGTCTTGGGGATTTTTTCCCCAGGGCGCCGTGTCTTATAGAGTGCTCGATTGACCGACTAAGACGAGAGCTGAAACGTATTTCGTTGTGTGTGTCTTATTTGACTGTAAAGTTAAAGTGACTTTCCCGATCCCGTACCTCAAGGGGACGAGATATAGAGACGAGACGAGATTCCCCCCTGACACGTGTGGAGAACCCCGAGAGAAGAGATTTTCCCCCTGATAATTATATCATGGTGTAAAATTGAACATGATCAATTTGTTTTTTTACGAGAGCAGAAAATGTGACAAGCTATAATATGAATGCTTTTCATGTTTGTTGGCGCAGTTACAGTAACAGTTATCATGTTAATTTATTTATTTTGTCAGGTTCATAAATGAACGTAGGTCAAGTTTGAGCGATTGTACTAACTTGTAACATCTTCATATCTATACTGGAGTTGTTACGCACATGGCATGTGGCAGAACTTGTTCAAATAAAATTTCCTATAACGATATATTATACAAAAAAACTTGCCGTTCGAATTAAAATTTGATGAAAACTACACTGTGCAGTATTTAGCAAATGTAGGATTGTTCTTCCATTATTTATAATTACACCTCCAGACGGTCTTTCATCATCAGAATGTATGTCGATTACCGGCAGGAATGGTTTTATGATAGAGAATGATGCTGAAAACATTCTGTTACCTCCACTGCCACATTTGTTTGACGTTCAGTTTTACGATATTTGATTTGTTCGATGTTTTGTTTATTAACCATACGTAAATAGTGCA